CTCTAGGACGCTCCGTCCTCACTCAGACCCCTAGATGGACACCCTTCCCAGAGAGACCTCTGCTCTTGAGCCTTCTGTGGGCAGCGCATCACCACTCCAGGAAGCCTTCCCTGACCTCCCCGAGCTGAGTTGGTCGCCCTTCCTCTGTGTTCCCATAAGTCCCTGTGATGCCTCTGTCACTGCGCTGACCACATGGAATAAATCTTCACGTGTCTGTAAGTCCTTCAATGCAGAAATCTCCTCGTTTTCACCTCATTATTCCCTGGTGTTTGGCAGGTCATAGGGCTCAGGCGATGCTTGTTGAATGAATAAATGAAAGTACAAGGGCTCAGGCGATGCTTGTTGAATGAATAAATGAAAGTACAAGAACTAAGCTCCACGCCAGTCTCTTTCCTCACTTCACCCCTCTCCGATCCCCAATTAACAATTAACCTAATTCATTAATTAGGCTAATTTAGCAAATTAACCTAAAGGGAGCATACGTTTGTCCGCCATTATTTGGTACCAGGGCCAAAAAAGATGTGGCATCTACTTACCTATTTTTACACTGACAGAGTAACTTCTCAGACTTCAAAGTATGTTAAGAAATGCTGGATTCCTTTGCTGTATACCATGAAACACCACCTGAAGATGGCTTAAAAATATAAAAGGTCACTTCAGACATGACATTGGTTTGGCCTTGCAGAGTTTGGTGAGCCATCATAACTGGCATCAGAAAATGTTTATTAAATTTAGTGAATGAAAGCTCTTCATAGAAATAGAGGAAGGACACAGTCTCTGCCCTTTAGGAAATGACACTCTCGAAACAATAAAATATGCTGACAAAATTTGAATTTTATAGGCTCTGGATGAAAATTGTGAGAAGCTGAACGATAAAATTATCTGCCCACAAACAGCTCTGTGTGGAACTCACCCACCATTTAAAAGAGTGAATGAAGAAATTTCTAGACCAGGGTTGCCCAAAAGAAATTCCTGTGATGATGGATCTGTTCTATAGATCTTTAGATATTGTCCAATGAAGTAGCCACTAGCCACAAATGGCTATGATCATGTGAAGTGTGGCTAGTGCAACCTGATGAGCTGAATTTTTAATGTTACTTAATTTTAATTAATTTAAGGTCAAATAGCCACATGTGGCTAGTGGCCACCATATTGGACAGCACAGTCCCAGACCATGGGGAAAAAAAGTATAATGTCTGCCAAGTGGTAAACTAAGTATAGACACTGCCAATTTACAACCCGCTCTTCAGATCTGATCATAAATCCTGGACTTGGTCCATGATAAGCACTGATAGCTATGGCAAAAGTAACTTTCTGTACCTGAGTTTCCTCACCACCCTCACCCTGTGTCCCTCTAACCTTCTGAGACTCAATCTGAAATTCAAGATTTGCGTGTGAGGGATTGTCTGTCTCAGACCCAGGTCAGAATCAAACTCAGCCACCACCACCCATGACCACGGAAGAAGTCTGAGGGAGTCGTATGTGCAGTACAGATGAGCCATCGGATGAATTTTTTTAAAAAAGACATCTGCAGATAGAACATCTATAGTAAAAATACTTCATAAAAACAAAACTTCGAAAGCTCTCTATCACCCTGCAAACAAAATCCATCGCTCGGCATGCCCTGCAAAGTTCTCAGACTCCGGCAGAGAGGATCAGCCATTGGGATCACCCTTTCACATGCTACCCCGGGGCTTCTTCACTGTGCCTTGCCCATCTCCTGCCCTTCACCTGATGGACTCCTCACCCCAGCCATCCCTGACTGCCACGTCCCCATCTAAATAAGTCACTCCTGTTAGTCTCTTCTTCCCTGGCACTGAATATTTGAAACCGTATATTTAATTTGTGTTTGGTTCCACGTCTATGTACGCCATGAAGACAGAGACCATTATTTTCTTGTTTAAAGAGGGGTGTTTACACGATGCAATGGTTAATTGCTCGAACACTTGGGCCAAGACGGTCTGTATTTGTGTCACAGGTCCACCACTTATTCGCCCCTCTGTGACTCAGTGTCCTCATCCATGAAATGGAGCAACAATAATAGTAACTATCTTGTGGAGTTTTATGAAGATTAAATGAGCTGGTATACATACACCACTTAGAAAAGAGCCTAGCTTATAGCAAGTTCTGCATTAATGTCAGCTATTATTATCCTTTGCCACTATCTGGTCAATGCCTGGTATAGTATCTGGCACATAGTAGGTTCTCAGTAAATACTTAATGAATGAATGATTGAATTTCCATTAGGCTACTTACTATAGCAATGTTCTGATCTTCTTTCCAATCATTTTTGCCATCTTAAAGCAATGACAATAATCTCTCTAAAAAGACTGTAAATAATGATGACAGTGAACAATTAATTTATAGTCGATGTGATGTTGACTTTTTCTTTGAACATAGCCACCAAATTAATGAGGTATCTATCTGCTTCTAGCTTTCTGAGTCTTTTAAATATCATACAAATGCCTTTGCTGTGTCTATAAAGTAATCTTCCGATGTTCACTATTCATTTGGTTGACACGATGTAACATATTCAGAATTCTCTTTGTGATCTGCTAGTCTTGTGTTTGGAGATAAGTGTTCTACTTAGACACGGTTTGGTTGAGAACACAGGGTTTAGAGGAAGACAGACCAGACTTCGAATACTGTTTTACCACCTAATAACCATGAAATTTTGGGCATGATTTTTCTGAGCTTTGGTGTCCTCACCTAAAAATGGAAATGTTAATACCTACTTCATAAGAGAATCAGGACAGTCACTCAGTATTGTAACTGGCATCTAACTATATACAATGATAGCTACTATTGCTCAATTCTTTGCTGAAATTTTATTTAAGAATTTTGTAACTATGTTCAAAAATGAAATTGGCTTCTAACAGAATTTTCAAAGAAATTTTCCTTTTCAGTGTTAAGACTAGCACCTACTGAACTCTCAAGAATTAATTTGAGATCATGCCATAATTCTCGTTTTCTAAAAAGAACTTTAATTTTTTTATTGTACATTGTAGAAAAAGTAGAATATATAAAGAAGCAAAGTTATGAATATTAAAATTATCTGTAATCTCATCACCCCCAAAGAAGCACTGTTAACATTTGTCTGTATGTTCTTCCAGACAGTTTGAATGCATAAATGCACACATACACACACTTACAATACTGGCAGAAAATGGATCTGAATGTACCTAAAATTTTTTGTTTTATTCGACATCTTTTTACCTTAATAAAATATTTCCAACATCCCATTTTTAATGATGGCACTGTATTCCAAGATATGAACCTATCAAAAGTTAAAAGTATATAGGTGGTTCCCAATATGTTACTATTATAAGCATGCTGCATCAAACATGGTGCTACATATCCTTATTAGCCCTCAGTCCATGCTCGACCTTTATCCATTATGCTGTTTGCCCCAGGAAGCTGAACTTTGCAAGAATGCATCACTGAGCTTCCTCCCTCTCTGGCTTCCTGTGGGTTTAACTAATGGGGGTGTGAGGGTGCCAGCAAGAAATCTAATAATGGGAAAAGGAGACAAGAGTATTTACTTGCCCAGCTCCCTCCCTGAAGCACTACGACTTGGCTGTGCCCTTGAACACAAGACCTTGATCCCATCTGGTAGAGGGTCTCTCTACGGCTCTTCTGGGTTCCTCCCCTTGTGCCTTCATGTTTAGGCTGATCTGCTGTCCCCATCACTGCTAGTGCAAGCACCCCGCCATTCTTTGGTTTCCCTTAACCCTGCCACGCCTTTATCAATAGTCCTTCATTAAACTCTCCACTTAGCCAGTTTAAATGCGCCACCTGCTTCTTGCCAGGATCCTAGCAAATATGAACAACTTGGTAGGTAAATGTCTCTACACATCTTTTATTATTATCACGTGATAAATTTCTGAAGCTGGAATCATGCTCTTGATCAAAGAGCACGTGTATTTTTAAGACGTTTTATTGCCAACTTGTCTTCTAACATAGCTTCCTCCAGCAGTGCATGAGAGCTAGCCTTCAGGCTCCCTGTCCAGCTAGATATTTCTTTTGAATTTGAGGGTTAGCTTATTTTCTTTTAATTCTAGGAAATGCCCCTCTATTACAACCCTGATTAAGTACCCTTGCTAGTCTGGTACTTCCTCAGAAATTCCTACTCGAAAAGAATGCAGTCTTTCTAAAAATAGAGCTCTACATACTTTTAACAAAATATATAACAAAAAGCATATATATAATGTATCTACCCATTTAGAAAAACAAACAAACTCACGGGAAGGCTAAAACAGCATTATCATTGCTCACAAATCTGTAGGTCAACTGGGCAGTTCTTTTGGTCTTGGATGGACTCGCTCACCGTCACCTGCAGGTTCAATCCCATCACTTCTGCTGCTTTCTATCAATCAAAACAAATCACGTGGCCTGGCCAGATTCAAGCGATGGGAGGAGCTACGAAGTCCCACAGCAAGGACATGGAGAGAGGGAGGGGTAGAGTGTTGGCCACTTTTACAACCAATCTGCCATTATAGGTGCCATATACAGTACGGGCACAATAAATGCTGTATATTACTATTATAGATAGCCAGCAACACAGCCAGAGCCAAGGGACCACCGGTATTCTGCCCAGCACTAGATCCAGGTGGATGACTAGTGCTATACCCTGCCCATGAAAGGCTGAATGTGTTTAAAATACTGTATTAACCATGATTTTTAGTTTCCATATTTGAGATTTTGACATCTGGGGCCTTGCAGCCGAGAGAGGGACTGCCCCTCCGAGGGTTAGAGGATTCCCACCTCCTGCTTTATTTGCTCCATCACCCCATCACCCCAGAGCTAGGCATCAGACAGCGCGAGGCAGCCCCTGCACCCAGGAGCCCGGTGTGGTTATTCAAACCAAGCAGCCCTACACCTTGACCTACTCGCCCATTCCCATTTCTCTCTCCCTTCCTCCTTCTCCTTCTCCCTCTCTCCATTCCATCGCCTTCTCACTCTTATTCCTTTTCCTCCACCTCCATCTGCCTGTGACTGACCGTGGTCGTGGCTCTGTATGGTCTGTCTTGCCCCCTCCTCTTGGGAACTGTAATATACTGTCCTTTCTCCTGGTCTGTTGGCTTTGGCATACCTGCACAAAAACAAAATCTACATTTTAAAACAAATACTGCTTGCCTCGTATGCAGGAACTGTAGCCGGGCTGTCTGATCCATGGCAGATTCAAGACTGCCAGGAAAAACCACAGACAGGAGTTAACCGGTACCCACGGGTCTGGACGAAAGTCTTCAGCAGAGTCGGGAATGAAGCCGAGGATCCAGAATCAGTGCTGTGCTGCATCAAGAGAGATCGCGTGGGTTTAGTTGTGAGGCAGTCGAATTGACTCCGGCTACTTGCTTCCTTCTCACCGGAAACTTCTTAAAATTGGGTGTAGAGACAACATAGAGCCAAAAAACGAGGAGAGGGTTGACAGGTGAGCGAAGGTGTGAATAGATAGTTCTTAGCATGTTGGGAGTGAGAATCAAAGATAATCCAGAGGGTTGGGATAAAGGAGAGGAATAAAGACGGTCAGCCTCTCGCTCTATACAATACATTAGAGAGCTATGTCTATATGTATGTTTTTATGTCATATATAACATGTTATATATGTCGTCGTATATGTTACATATGTATATGTTTATATATTATATATATTTAGATAGATAGATACATAGATATTCCTAACTCTTCAAATAGATCATTTACATTGTTAGTACTCAAAAAATGCATTCAGAACACGGTTCCACCAATGACAAACACTTTTAATGCACTTATGTATTTGTTTATAGATCAATAGCTGCTTGACGGGAGGCCACAGGACAGAAAAAGGATTTAGCTACTCTGCCCTTCATCCAAGTCCTTCCTGAACTAGGTTCTCAAGGCTGGTCTGGGTCCCTCCAGCTGGCAGCCAGAAACCCTAACTTTGCAGTATCCTGGTTTACCTCTACTGTCAACGTGTTGGCAGTGCTTACCACATCTTGGCTGAAGCGATGAAAGTATACCAACATCGGAAATTCTACAGCATCCTTAAAGGGAACTGCCTCCCTTCCCGCGGGAGGCCGCTTCTCTGAGCTTCTTCCTGGTTGATGGTATATAGTTAACAATATTTATCGTCCTTGCTCATTGACAATAGGCTCGGCCATGTGACCTGCCACACCTCCCATCCCCCATGTAGGATTATACATCCCCGTCCTGTCATATATGGGGTTAGCCACATGATCTGCTTTGACCCGTGCAATAAGAGTAGACCTGGTAGGAGCCAGCTTGTGGTTCCTCCCTGCCAGGACACCAGCACTGATCTGGATGGGGGCTGCTCTGTCAACCTGGGTCCCAAAGTGTAAAGGGCATGGAACAAAATTGAAACTGACCATGATAAACACAGGTGAAAAGCAAATCTTTGTTGCTATGTCATGAGATTTGGTGGATGTTTACCGTTGCAGCATAACCTAACTTATCTTAATAATATATCTTCACGCTGTGTACGAGGCCTGATTTTTGAGTTGGAGCAGTCTGGACATTCACTGGACTCTCTTCGAAGGAAGAAGATGGTGGGTTGTGCCGCCAGAGTTGTCCGCACTCTACCCTAGTCTCCATCACCCAGATGACAACAGAGTAACCTGCCCCTGGAGCCAGCAATCTGCTGTCACTGTGCCTTGTTCTCCAGTGCAGGAACTATCTCAGCCAGCTAGGTGAGTGATGAGGAGCCCAGGAATGTAGCCACTTGGCTAAATATCTAACTCCTTCCTATCCCGCCTGACAGGCTAGGTGTGAGAAATGGGGTTAAAGTGGGTACATGGGCTTACGGCTAGCGATGCAGGGACTAAAAGAAGCCAAGCTAGACATCGTTCCAGAAAGCAAGACTCAGATGTCAGGATCCCCAACACCTGGGGAGACCAGAGGAAGAAGCATGAACATATGGAGCTGAGAGAGCAAACAAAGAAAATGCTTTCTGGAACATCTGCCTGTGTTTTCTGGCTTGGTTTTAAGGACCTGGACAAGAATACGAGCCAAAGAAAGGTTTACCGGAGGCACTTCCAAGTTTTCCTTGGCCAAATTCTTCAAAATTTGAAAGCAGGTAGAGCCAAGTCAGGTTAGCAGACACTTCATTGAACTAAGAGCCTGCCATGTGTAGGAGAGGATGGCAGTTTCACAATATTCCTTTCTGAATGAAAGAAAAAATTATCTGGGAGATAAACATCTGAGAGTGAGCACCTATGAGGCACCATGAGAATAAAATTTTATACACTTGTAAGATGAATGAATGGATGATCATTGGTTCACAGGAAGAACTGACTACGCAAATGTAAAGCTAAAAGGAAAGCTCAGTAAAGATGAGACAGAAATGGCACATAACTTAATCACCTGGCTGCATAGATTAAAATATCACCTTGAACATGTAATTAAGTAGCAATGAATACCAACATATTTTTCTAAATATCTGCCCCGAAGAACTCCTTAAGGAAACAAAAGGCATTCTGTCTCTTTCATCGGAATGTGCCTAAAACACATGCCGTTGAAAGTGTAGTGACAGAGGCAATTTCCATACTAATGACAAGTATAAATGGTACAGCCACTCTCGAAGACAATTTTGAAATACTTTTTGAGGGTTCAAAATATTCATATCTCTGAAACAGTATTTCCAAATCTAGAAATCTATTCTAATAACCAAAAATGCAGACAAGATTTATGTCCTAAAATGTAGCAAACAATAGATATACAACATAGGACGATTAAATGATACATAAAAAAACATAATACGGCTATCAAATATAATTATGAATGCTTTCAATTATATGTAGGAAAATACTTACTAAATAATATAAATCCAAAACAGCATAATGTGAAATTGTATTTATCGTATACCCTCAATATTTAAGAATATATGCATTAAAAACCCTGAAAAAATATCCTAAAGTATTTAACAGTTATGATGGGAGATTATTACTACCTTCTTAATGTAGTCTTGTATTCTCCAAAATTTCCACAATGATATATTATTATATTTTCCAAAAAAATTTTTTGGGAAAAAATATTCCTAAATAATGCCAGGATATAGTACTACAGTAATTATTTTTAAAATAATAATGACTGTGAGGTGATGGATGTGCTGACTAACCTTACTGTGGTAATCATTACACAATGTATATATATATTAAATCATCAACTTGTATATCTTAAAATTCCGCAATGTTATGTCAATTATATCTCAATAAAGCTGAAAAAAAAAATAAAAATCATGACATTACAAATCAATTTTAAACAATGCAAAACAGCACTCAGAAAAAAATTTGTACTCTGAACTTATAAGCAATAAAAACAAAAAATTACTACATACACACATAAACTATAAATGAATTTTATTTATAAATGCATAGATGTATACACTTATAATAAAAGTTACCAATTAGGGGAAAAATACATTAAAAGAATAGAATGCCATAATCAAGTAGAGTTTACTCAGAATTTAAGGCTGTTTTAATGTAGTAAAAACCATTAATATACTCATATTAGATTAAAATAAAAATTCTGTGATTATATCAAAAGATACCAATCTACCAAAAGCTTCTAACAAAGAATAGATGTCACTTCCCTTATTAAATAGAGAACCTTTGTTTAAAGCTAACAATTAACTTCATATTTAATGAAGAAATATCAAAAAATATCTTTTTATCACAATTTTATTTAACACAAAAGAAAATAGAAATACATAAGGAAAAAGAAATATTTTTGCAGCTATGATTTCATATTAAGAAAAAACAAGTGGGCCTTTCAACACTGTTAGAACAAAAGCAATTCACTAAAATACAAATATTTTTAAAATAACATTCTAATGATAGAAATTCCCATACTGAGTAGCAATACAGATGTATTTATCCAAGAAAGAATTAATGCATTAAGAGCTAGATAAGACCTAAACAAAAACAAAAACAAGTTATAATTATAAAGAAATCAAGAAACATCAATAATGAAAAGAGTTAATTACTTGATGGGAAGAATTAGTCCCACGAACATAAGTCTCTTAAAATGTTCATTTTAGATCTAAGGAATTCAAATTAAAGCATTAAAAAGAATTTTATCTTATATTACACATTCCTTAGGGGAAAAAAGATTGTTTTGAATATAAAAAAATATATATGTAGGAAGAAAAAAGAACAATGAAGACCAATACGATACTGATTCAATGCATTCAAATGCAGAGTTTAATTTGCTACATGGCCAAAAAAAAAAAATTATCAAGTGTTAGAATTACCAAGAAGAATAAATAATGTATTTGCTCAAAGCTAGGAAATGCAAACACAAAGCATCACAATGTAATGTAATAAGTGCTATGCTAGAACTTTGAGAATGCTCTTGGGGTCTTGGGAAACACTCTTGGGAAAGGTTAAATCGGCATTTTAAAGAATCTAATTTTGCCAGGTTTTGAGGCAGATGGAAGGAAGAAAGAGTGACAGTTAGAAGGAGCATCGTTTACAAACACAGAGTCACAAGATAAAATGGCACGTTCCAAAATTTGCAAGTAGGTCAGTACACACGATTAAAAGTTGATATTTAAAAATTAGAAAATTTCTCAGAAAAATCTGGATTTCTGGCTTCTTTTGTCCAATTGAACAACATGACAAACTGGGCCCACATTCCCACATGGCAACAAGAGGCAGTTGGCCCTTTTAGAGGGGACAATTTACCACAGCACCTCTTCTTTTCTCGCGTTCCTGTTACGTCCAGCTCACTTCATCCATTGACTCACCTTTCTGGTCCCTGTGGCCATCTGAGTTTATGACTCTCACCCTACATGATGGGGCCAATGAAGGTTATGGCAGCAAAAAGCAAATGATTAGGTCTGGATTTCAAAAGATCAATTAGACAGCAAGATGGAAGACAGAGGGAGAGAAGGTAGGTGAAGCGATCAATGAAATCCACAAAACCCTATTTATATTAAAAATTAAAATGGAGCTACTATCATTAAAGGAGAGTCACCTGGCATCTCCCACAAAAACACTCGTAAGGCATGAAAACCACCAAGTTCTGCATCTATGGAATAAATGCAAGAGGAGATGAGGGTTTGAAATAAGGCAGGATGTAGGGAATGGGAAAAAATGGGCAGAGAAGGATAACTATTTGAGAGATTTTTCGGAAAAAATCTCCAACACTAGGTAACCGATTTGACATGGGGAACAAGGAGAAAGAAGAGTATAAGACAATTTGCAGGTTTTGGGCTTAAGTCATTAGGTGGTGACATTCCAAAATAAACAAAAGGAAGAAAAAGTCTAGAAAAATGTTCATCATTCAGTTTAGGTTGACTTTGTGGAGCATTGAGATGCGTAGCTTCATCTCACAAGCTCCAATAAATTGCCAAAGAAAACCTATCTCAAAGTCTAACATGATACGCTCTAACAGATGATCATCAGACAAAAAGAAGAGAGACAGGCATGATTACATAAAATATTTTTACAGAATGAATACCAGCAGAACTAAGATTAAAATACAGTAATATAGAACTGAATTAAATATTGAAACAAAGACTACAGAGGATCAATAACTTCATATATATAAAAGCATAACTATAAGGTATATAAAAAGAACACAATAATATAAAAGGCTACCAAGTCTGGTAATGTAAAGGATACATATTAATACATTACGTTATAAATTTTTCTGTTTCCATTAAGGACTTAAGATGGCTTACAACAAAAATATACATAGTAAAAGGACAAAATGTAAATAATAATAATAATAAATGAAACAATATTTTTTTTAAAAAAAATTAGCACCAAGAGAAATCAGAAGCAGGAAAAAAGAAACAAAATATGCAGGATGTTAAGGGCTTTCAGAAATACTGTTGATGACAACCAAGGTGAAAATATTAACATAAGTTCATGACTTTTATTGTCCATTAGGCAAAAACACAGCAAGTTCTCCCTTTGCAAAGGACGTTCTTTGCACATCTTCCTCAACAGAAAAGATAGCATTTCATGAAAAAAAAATTTTAAAGAAATTTAGCTTTATGAAAAACTCACTACCTTATCCTTCCTTATTTCTCAAATGTTATATTATTGCAAGACAGTTAAATATTTTTTAAAAACCCTTTACACACTGACATTTGGGGATATTACTACAGCAAACACAGAAAAGAGTTACATAAAAGCTGCTTCTCGGTGGTACTCTTTGATGAAAACAAAGACCCAAACCTCTAAGAAAAACAGGGGGTGGGTGGGGGAAGAAAAAAAGGAGAAAGAGGAAAGCCAGTATGAAATGGGCAAGGTATAGACATCTCTGATGGTCCATCCTATCCATAAAAGAATGGATATAACTTCGAGGAATGGATGAACTACGCATCCTTCAAACCACAGCAACTGGGCTTTAGTAAAAGTTTGGTAAGAGATGGAGAGTAAACAGAGTGAGGTAGAAATGTCTGGTTAGCACCCTAAAATTTTATTGTTGGCTGAGGATGGATCCCCGGGACTTGGATACTGTATGAGCACAGTATGGTTGACATCCTTTTATATAAAACTTAAGGAGCCTAATGAAAAGCCATCCCACATCAGCACAGAGGAGGTAATGACATGGGCCAGGAACTCAAGGGCATGTACAGAATGCACAAAATAAAGACATACGGAAAGCAGACACACAGAAAAATATTCACTTGCACATAAATTTAAGGAAATGCAAATCAGAACACAGCATCATTTAGCAACTATAAGCTAAGCAAAAGACTAACTTTAAAAATTTGATATTGTGTGGATTTTAAGAAAAGTTATATTCAAAAATGGGTTAGAAAGAATCAACATGTCCCAGAATAAGGGAAACAGTTAAGTAAACTATGATATATTAGTGTACCTGTGCATAATAATGAGTATGTGTGATAAACGTGAACAAATACGGAAAGATGCTTATGGAATATTAGGTGAAAAAAGAAAAAAAGAATATAAAGTCTACGTACTCTGTGAATACCATAGTGTAAAACGTGTATGTGAGCGTATAGAAAAACACGTGGCTGGGTCACAGAGCAAGTCCCCAGAAACCTGCCTCTTGAGGCTCTCCGGCCCATCAGCCTGGGGATAGCGCGCAGGGGCTGCAGGCAGAAGCTGCCATCCGCAGGATTTGCCCTGCACTGACCTGTCTGCCCCCAGGTTTTACCCTTTCTCTGCTCAACGTGCAAACTCCTTCCCAACCACCCATGCCCAATTTTATCCTCTCATATCTCCTTTTCTGTCTTCTTTAATCTCACGACACCTTGTGAGGTAGGTATTATTATGGCCATTCTTGAGAAACAATTAAATGAATAAATGGTTAAGAATCGAAGCTCAACAGAAGCTTTGTTTTCAGACCTTCCAACTGGACGAGCTTCTGACTTCACCGGCATCCTTTACGGTTTACCTGCGCATGGCTTCTTGGCCGACTGGGCAGGGACAGAAGCCAGAGGACAAGCTTCTGCAGCCCCAGCTGCGCGTCCCCCTTGTTTCTCAAGGCCCTGTGAATGCTCAGCAGAAGCAGCTGAATTATCTAAAAAGAAGAAAAAGATGAGGTTTCCTAAGACTCCTTTTATCACTTTCAACTTCATTTTTTGTTGGGAGCATCGGTCCAGGTGATCAGCTCTCAAGACGAAACTCCCAACACGCTGGATTTCGAGAGTCCGTGTCTTCTGGATTTAAATTATATTAAACACACACACACACACACACACACACACTCAGCAAGCAGAAAGAAACTATTTCATGGTTAAGAGAGACCCGTTAAACAAGACCAGACGAAGATAATGACAGGCCCCATAGAGAGCGGCAGGCCCTGCCACCATTCGGGGTTCCCTAGATAGTCTGTGACACTGGTACACGCAGAGACCTTTCTACCCTCGTACTACCCGCTCACAAAGTTGCCCACTCCCATCCCAACATAAGAAAACTGCATAGTAAAAGCTTAGAGACCCCAACTATGGTGATTTGGTTTCCTGAACCCACCACCCACCGAAACTGATTTTCGGCTACAGGCAAATCTAGTAGAATAAGTAACTTAGATGCACTATAATGAAAAGAATACCAAACCACCCTTTACAGACCTTAAAAAGTGACAGACTATGCAGCGATATGGGAAGATAGTTATGATGTTGTATAAAGAGAAAATTTAAGATACTAAACTAACACATACTTTGATGACAACTGGACAGGTATTTCTATGGTAACAAAACTGAAGGGCCTGCAATTAAATGGTAACAATTACTATGGATTAGAGTAGAATCATATGTAATTTTTATTTCTGCTGTCTCCTATTCAAATTTTTCTGTAATTTCCTAACAATTAAAAAAGAAAAAAAACTTCAATTCGATTTAATAAAAGAAAGCCATCCCTATATTATCCTTACCCTCACTGGTTTTTCCTAACGAAGCTGTTAAGATTGGTCTACCTACTTCCTGACCCCCAACTTACCAAGGAGCTTCTCTTGGGCTTTTCAAACACCTGGGCAGGTGCTGTCAGCTGGCAGTGTTGAAAATAAACTCCATTCCCCCATCCTTTGGTTAGAATCACAGTTCTGTATCATAAAATGTTGACTGTCCTAAGTTTCCCCAAGGACAAAGCACTTAACACACTCAAAAGTGTTTTCTCCTTTGACTCACTTTCAGGTCAAAACTGCCATGTTGATAGTGCTTTGTCTATCGGAGAAAACACTTTTGAGTGTGTTAAGTGCTTTGTCTATGCCTGATAGTCTCACCTTTATTTTCAAGCATCTTGTGCAGCTTCGTGTGCCTGTAGGCAGAGATTATCTGAAAATTAACGACACTGGGGATATTCAGTCCTTGGTCCTGCAGCAGCTTCAGGGATGTCTCGTGAATGAGCTGATGGGACCGTTTGCATCTCTGAAGCCTGCACTCTCCCCTGACAAAGGACTTGCACACGTGAAACTTGTTGCACTTGTCCTTGAGGTTGCAATAACCATACAGCGCTTCGCCTTTGTTGTAGAGTAAGCAGACCTGTGGAGAAATGAGGCAACGCTGAAAACACCGGTTTTCACTGTATCTTTTCAGCCAATAAACTGACAGCTTCTCTAAATGGCAACTTCTGGTCACCAGCGGCTTTTAAAATCGTTGGGCGGATGGGTAGTGTTACAGTACCCCCACCCAGATCTACCTCAGCTGTCACTAATACACAGTTGCCCCTGACTTTGGCCATCAGTGGACCTGTCCTCCTCTCCCAAAGGCTGCAGCCAATGAGTGAATCCCATGCAGGTACTAAAGGCTGACCCCTTGCCTCAGGCTAGACCAATTCTTCAGTATAACTTCTGCTCGAGAGCCCCACCACGAATGAAGTCAAGGCTAGACTTTGCCCTGCTTGTAGCTTTTCCTTCCTTGTAACCTGCTTCCATCTCTGATACCTTATGGAGTTTTCGCAAGGAGCCCTCCGAGAAATCACATGTACCTATGTCCTCACATCAGGCTCTGCCTCCAGGGATCCCGCCTAGACAGGTAGTGTGAACAGATAATTCTTCATTCTGACAAGGGCATTTTTTAGGGAGCACTATTAATAATTACATCGGGACAACTAATGTAAACTGGGTTTGCCCCAGGCAGCAAGAACCGCCTGATGGGGAACTTCATAATGATGGGTCAGGCTGTCAATCCGGACACCACTAACTGATCTTAATCTCACACACAAAAAAAGATGACTAGACACTGTGCACCTCCTGGCAACATGGTTGGAACGCATCTGGCTCATGACATACCAAACCTGGCTTCAAAACTTGAAAAAATGAGAAAGGAGATGGATGCCAAGGAGAAGTATCTTGGCTCCTAAGGCTGACTCCAGTACTGCCTTCTGGGTACAAATTCTGCCTTGACAAGTCTGTACCCAGAGGCTCCAGCTCGTACCTCCAGCTGTATGACTTCCTCCTCTTCTAGAATCTGCAATACCTTGGAGTTTAGATGGGACCACAGTCATGAACTACCCATGAACTACGCTTGGGGGTGTCTGTGATAGAATCATTGTGCCAGATTAGCAAACTCTACTTTTAACTGGTGGCCTCTCGTAAAATATTCTTTTGGAATTCCAACTATTTTATTTAAAAAAATTCTTTGTGTCTAGCTAAACAGATACAAACGTACTAATTTTGCCATTATAGTAGCAATTAAATTTAATATCTAAAGCCCCCAAAAAAGTAAATGGAGGAGGGGAATACTTGTAACAAATGTGACCAAAAAAGGAATCTGTATCATTAAAGACATCTTATAAATGAACAAGAAAAGACAAATGCCTCACCAGAAAAATAGGCAAAAGCATAAAGAGGCAATTTACAAAACACAGGCTTCATAGTCAGACCTAAATTCAAATATGCCATTTACTATGTGACCTTGGGCAAGTTTTTAATCTGACTCAGTTTCCTCACCTGTAAAATGGGGGCAGGTTATTAATAAGCTAATGTATATAAATTGCTAAGTATGCAGTTAGCACTCAGAAAAACAGTAGTCATTATTATTATTTCTATCCCACACAGGTCCATCTCTCCCTGTGTATCAGACAAAGTCCAGTAAAAGCAGAGATTCCAGAAAAGGTCAGCACGGTACCATAACTCCCTTCCCCACCCCAGCCCCAATACACCTCGGGCTGTCCCATGTAAGCAGACTTGATGTTCTCCTCTTGGTGATTTCTTTCACCAGGCAGACAATGTGAGGGTGACATCTTGGTGACTTACCTCTGGTAAAAGGCAGGGGTCGTTCTGTAAGAGCAGAATCCGAAGCTGGGCCTCATTGAGGCCAAAAAGCCCTTGGTTTTTCAGGACTTGGATGTTGACAGGTGTGTGGATGTCGTGGGAAAGGGTACAGGTAGACCTGGAACACAAAGTCCTACATCAGAGGCTCAGACGAAGAAGGGGCCAGTCTGTCAAAGTCCTTGCCTAGGGCGGCTTTGAACTTGCCTGTGAACTTCAACAATTTGCCATGAACTCACTCATGAGATACTACAGCCTCATCAGCTCTGATAATAAGAAAGCTGAGTTGAAGCGACTCCCCTCCCAGGGTCGTTTTCATTTTAAATGAAGATAATTTAAAATCAAGGGGACCCCCCTCCCGCAGTCCCCTGCCTTGTCAGAGCGTGCCCACCTGGTCTGGAGGTGACTGCACTTGGCTTCTCCACACCTAATAGCTGCGCGCCCCCCACAGTCTACCATCGTTTAAAAGGAAGTGTGCCCCCACCCGCGTTTGGGGAGCCTGTGTAAACCAAGGAAGACTGCGGTCAGGAGGCAGCTTCAGACGCCCTCTCCCAAATCGTCCCCCATCAATCAGACTGGGTCGGGCTTTCTAAACCCAGAGGGCACAGACTGGCTGCTGTGCATCTTTGCATGGGAAGAGGCATTCTCTGCGTAAACGGTGCATGGATGGCGACAGGATCCGCGAATGCCCCTCAAAGGAACCCCAAAGTCCCGATCCCGATTCGTCCCGGCCGTGTCTGTCCCCCGTGGAGGGTCCGGAGGCCGGGGGCTGCAGTTTGGCGACCTCCCGCCTCACTCTGCGCAGGAGCGGGCAGCGAGCGCGGGGAGGCCTCTCCGAAGCACCCCGCGGCGCCCCCTCCCGAGGCTTCCCTTCCGCCCTCTCCGAGGGGGCGCCGGCCCCCTGG